CTACCCCCCACAAGCTGCGGACAAGCCACCGCCCTCGGACACACCCCTCCCCGCACCTGCAGACAAGCCACCCTCCCCGACAACCACCCCCCGCACCTGCAGGCAAGCCACCCTCCCCAACACACCCCCTGCATGCTGCAGCAGGGCTCAGTGGGTTAATGCTCAGTCCAGGCCAAGGCCTGGGGTTCAGTGAGACGAAGGGGGTCACGCAGAAATCCCAGAGATGGCCTGAGGGCTCAGTAAGGCAAAGTCGACCAGGCCCCAAAAGGCCTGGAAGCTTCAAGTCCAAGCACTCAGGGACAGGGGAGGGAAGGTGCCGACCTCATCACAGGCTGGGCATGGCTTCCCAAGGAGGATGCCAGGGAGGGGCTCCAGACATTCGGAGCCTCTTGGCGTGCCCAGTGCTACTAGGTCAGACCTGGCTCTTACCTCCATAGCCCCAAGAGCCGGTGCAGGACTGGGGTATGAATGAACCCTAACCCTGTCCCACTGAGCAGAGGGTGCCAGGGGCTCGTGGGGGCTCAGGAAGATGGGTCCTACCCGAGACTGCTGCCTAGCCTCACGTTGCAGCCCAGAGACAGGACAGCACCAGGGCCCGTCTTGAAGAACCCAGGGCCATCAAGGTGAGCTTGGACGGTGGGCTAGCGGCCATACCCCAGCCCTGCCTGTGCTCCCCATGGGCTCCCCAGCCCCAAACTCACCATATGCCTCCTGCAGGTCAGCGGGACGAGGCCGTGGCAGCGCTTATGGACCAGCAGTTTGCAGTTGATGCACCTGTAGCCTTGCTTCGCGAGGCCCCATATCCTCTCACTGCACTGGCCGCAGTACGCTCTCTGCAGACAGGAACAGAACGTCAGGCCCAGGCCACGCTGAGGGGCCAGGCACGGCCTTCCACACCCGCACCTTCTCAAAACAGGACACTGAGCCGGGCCACAGGTGGCCCCGGTCCCTTGTCCCTTCCAGGTGCCAGGCTGGCCAGAGCTCAGTAGCCCCCTCTTGGGTCCATGCCAAGGTTGGGGGAACCAACGGCCCCAAGGGGAGGCCTGGAACCCTGCTCTGTCTCAGGCAAGGCCCCCTGGCTTACAGAGGCAGGGGGCTGCAGCTCCTGCCATGCTCTGCGTACATCGGCCTGGAGTCCTGTTTAGGGAACTGGGTCCTGTCTAGGGCTGAGCAGAATGCGGGGGATGCCCCCTGCTTGGCGTTCATTCAGACAGAACCTCCTCCCGTTCAACAGCCTCTGAGAAGGCAAACTCAGACTCATGAACATCTTGAACCGCTACATGGCAGCCGGCAATTATCTCAGTATTCTTTGTTCAGTATTTTTCAAGATTTAAAACCATCCTTCTTTATTCTTCATAGTTCTAAACAATTCAAAAATGACACTAATTATCAGCTTATTTGGTGATGTTTTCATGAATGTTTAAACGTTACAAAAGGCACAAAAATGAATGTTGTTGGGACCTGCCTGGGTGTTTGCTGCCTTGCCCAAGTGCCCGAAGGGGTCCTGGCAGTTAAGGGGCGCATCTGCACTGTCACCGCGTACCCGGAGTCTCCAATTTAGATTTTTTCCAGACAACCTTTCATATGCTTTTCCCTACTTTACCATTTTTCACGAATTTCCTTCCTATTAGACAGTCTCACTTCACTCTCGAGTTAGGAAGCACAGACACAGAGGACTGTAAACGGCCGGCACTGAATTCATGTGAGGAGCAGGGACCCTCAGCACGTGCAGGCGTCAGGTGCAGCTGAGCAAACAGGGCCCATGCCCTGTACGGAACCCTTTTGCTATCAGGAAGAGCCTGCTTGGGACACCAGCCCCTGGGGACTCTTCCCCACAGCGTGACTAGCACCTAGGACAGTGCCCAGCACACAGCGGGCACCAGGCAAGAAAACACGCACTCACCATTGCTTTCAACTTCCATAACAGGAAAATGAGCTAGCTGCACATCCTTGGCACATGCCACCTACACCAGCCCACCCACGGCAGAGCCAGGCCAGGACCGTGCATTCTATCTGAACGAGGGAGGGGTGAGGGGCATCCCACCCAAGACCTCCAACTTGAAGCCAATCTAGCTTAATGCTGGCATCAGGAGTTTTGCCCCAGTCGGCACCCGCTGAATGCACGGACCCTGGAGTGAAAGGAGACGCTTCGGCTGTGCAGACCTGCTCCACTATCCTCTGTTTCCACAGCGCAGGAGAACACCAGCTTCCATTTCTAATGCCGTTATTTAAAAATCAAGTTTTTTTGGCTATACCGTGCCTAACGTGTTTGGCTTTCTTTCGGTCACCCTTTAAGATCTTACTCTGCAATGCTAGGGTCCTATTTAAGACCAAATTCGCAGCCACCAGGTGTCTTTACCAATTAACCAAGGTTGGTCGGGTGCAGTGGCTCATGCCTGTAATCCCAGCACTTTGTGGGAGGCCGAGACAGGTGGATCACTTGAGGTCAGGAGTTTAAGGCAAGCCTGGCCAACACGGTGAAACCTCATCTCTACTGAAATACAAAAATTAGCCAGGCATGGTGGCAGCACCTGTAATCCCGGCCACTCAGGAGGCTGAGGCAGGAGAATTGCTCGAACCCGGGAGGCAGAGGTTGCAGTGAGCCGAGGTCACGCCACTGCACTCCAGCCTGGCAGAGTGACACTGTCTCAAAAAAAAAAAAAAAAAAAAAAAAAACCCAAAAAAACTGACCAGGTTCCTTTCCGTGGGGAGCCACTCTTAGCTGGGGTCAGGCCAGGACAACTGCTGACAAGGGCAGTGTCAGTCTGTCGAGGGCCGGTGGCCACCAGAGACCTCGTGTGTGCTTTGCAGGTGAGGCTGCCCAAGCTCTGTCAAAGGCTCTTGTTTCAAACCTACATTTCAATTAGCAACATTTCAGGAAACATGACATTAAAAAAATAAAACCTAAACTCCAAGTTTCCATCCTCAGAAACTTACAGGAATTCATAGCTTAATGGCTAAAATGTTTAAGTCTGTTTTACACGCTGCCAACTTGTTCCCTGCTCTTATTTTCTTTCTTTCTCTTTTTTTCTGAGACAGTCTTGCTCTGTTGCCCAGGCTGGAGTGGAGTGGCATGATCTCAGCTCACTGCAACCTCTGCCTCCCGGTTCAAGCGATTCTCCAGTCTCAGCCTCCCGAGTAGCTGGGATTACAGGCACCTGCCACCACACCCAGTTAATTTTTGTAGTGACAAGGTTTCACCATGTTGGCCAGGCTGATCATGAACTCCTGACCTCAGATAATCTGCCTGACTTGGCATCCCAAAGTGCTGGGATTACAGGCATGAGCCACCACACCTGGCCTCCCTGCTCATATTTTCAATGCCCCATTTCCATGTTTTAGACACCACATCTTTACCTATTCTGCTGGTCGGAGCCCCCATCTGGGCTTTTGCCAGCTCAGGATCAAGACAGCCAGCTTCCCAATGTGTTCTGTCGTTTTCAACTGCGAGCTCAGATGCCCGATTCATTTATCGGAGGAAATTCTTTGAGGCTGGCTTGAAGAGGAACTGCGTTGGCGTCTGCCAGCCACCTGAGGGCACTGCTTGGACCAAGCCTGACAGGCACTGCTGCTCCTGGGTGGCATCTTCTCATTTCCCTTCCCCACCCTCACCCTCTATAGCCTCTTCTTCTCCAGGGACCCGAGTAGTCACCCCTCTGTCCACTCATGATAAAGGCCAAAGTCCTGGGCCGCCCACCCAGCTGTCCCTGTGGCATTCGTAGCCTGTGTGCCACCAGCAGGGGGGGTTCTTCAGCAGCCACAGCTCGGAGATGTGGCCCACCATGGTTTATACCCCACGTGACGGAGTGGGTGGTTCACAGCAAAGGGAGCGGCTAACTCCAAACACGATTCCCACTCTTGCTTGTAAAAATAATGCTGAGCTGATCTTCCCCAAACACAAACCTCCAAATGCGGGTGATTTCTTTTGAAGAGAGGCCGGACGGGAACATGGCAGGGCCGCACATTTCCTGTGTGATTTCCAGAGAGTAGGGTCCACATCTACCTCATATCCCCAGGGTTGGCAGACCCCATGACAGCAACCCTGGGCTTTAATTACTTTTAACATCTTCGATACTGACAGAGAAAACATCGTGTGTTTCCTTGATCATCTGTGGTCAAGCTGTCCTCATCTATGAACAACCATAGTCTTACTTCATCAGTCATTCACACCCGTGCTCAGCTTCTCAGTCCCAGCATCTACCAAAAGCCCTTGTGTAGGAGCTCTTTAATCCAAACTGTGAGTTGTTTGGATCTCTTCTGGGTTTTATGTGCTACAAACACTTTTCCTGTGTGTTTTTTTGCATTTAATTTGGAAAGTAAAAAAATCTGAGAAGTCTGTGTGGCTGAGTCTGAAGACCCTCTGGTCCTCACTGCCAAGTTTTGCTCCAGAGATCTGCACGGCTTCTAGGTTTATTTTTTATTTATTTATTTGAGATGTAATCTCACTCTGTAACCCAGTGGCACAATGTTAGCTCACTGTAACCGTCACCTCTGTTCAAGCTATTCTCCTGCGTCAGACTCCTGAGTAGCTGGGATTACAGGCACACAGCATCATGCCCAGCTAATTTTTGTATTTGTAGTGGAGATGGAGTTTCACCATGTTGGCCAGGTGGATCTCGAACTCCTGGCTTTAAGTGATCCACCCACCTTGGCCTCCCAAAGTTTTGGGATTACAGAAATGAGCCACCTCGCCAGGCCCAATTTTTTTTAACCTTAATCCACCTGCAGGTTTACTGTGATGGGAGCCAGCAGCCTGGATTTCTGCCCCCCTCCCCCCTCCCCACCCCGTTCTGGGGCCGATAATTAACCAATCGCCTCCTCAGGATTTACTGGGGGATCTCCTCCCACCTCCTCTACAGGAAGTGCTCGGCCCCAGGGTCCCAGGGCCAGCTCTGACCTAGCAGCTCTGTCCCACTTAGCGGGCTTCCCTGTTCCCCCAGCACTGTCCCTCACGGAGAGGAGGCAGCCCCTCCTCACCTCCTCCTCCAGAACCTCACTGGCTCTCTCCCTTTGGCTCCCCCACTGAGCACTTCCTTCTCATGGTACAATGACAGTCATTTCAAGTCCACACAAAGACCCAGGCAGGGAGCCCCAGTCCCGAGCGACTGACACCCACTCTTTCATCCTCAGCTCACCAACAAAGAGCACGGAAAAGTCCTCCTGGGTGCTTGTTCCCCTTTAAGTCTTGCTGATTCACATAAAACCAAGCGCTTCCCTCCTGAAATGCCTCCAATGTCACTGAAGTGACAGTGGAGGTGATCTGAGCGGTCCTGCAATTAACACGAAGTGAGCGCTACATGGAGCAGCTCTGAGGTCTGGGCAGAAAACATCACTGGCAGGAGGGGAGATCAGAACCTGGGCACAATTAGGGGGAAATGGGGCGGGGTAAACCACAGGGCGTCTGCCCTCCCAGTGCAGGCTTTGGCCCCATCTCGCCTCGGCCTCTGTGTTTGTGAAAACTGGCTTGTCCATGCGCCCGGAAGGGCTGCACTTCCACAGTAGAGCAGGGCTGTGGTGGGTCCACCTGCCACCTGCTTCTCCAATGTCCAGAAAAAGTAAAAGCTTCTGCTCCTGGTGGTGGGGAGGGTCACTTATGGTCTGCACCAGCTATCGGCAGAACGGACTTTTCTCCTAAAAGCTGCTTGGTCAAAGGCCAGCACCCTGCTATGCCTGGAGCCCTGGCCCGTGTCACTGGGTGGGCAGGGTTCACTCAGGCCACGTGCAACAGAAGGAGGGTGAGTGATTCCTCTGTGAGCCCAGGAAAAATGCTGTGCGCAGCTCCCAGAGGTTGTGGGGGAAGGAGCTCGAGGTGCTGTGGCACTGTGACGGGTAATGTCACCTAGAAAACTGGTGACATACTGCTTCCAGGTGTGTCTGAGGGTGCCACCAGGAGATTGACATTTGAGTCAGTGAACCGGGACAGCAAGACCCACCCTCAGGGTGGGTGGGCACCGTCTAGTCACAGTTGAGGGCTAGAAGCGTGGCCACCTCCAGCCACACTCTCCCGAAGCAGGAGCAGGCAGAAGCAGGCGGGAGGAGCGGCTTGCTGGGTCTCAGGCTTTCATCGCTCCCCCATGCCGGAAGCTTCCTGCCGTTCGTCCTGCCCTTGGACATCAGGCTCCAGGTTCTTCGGCCTTTGGACTCTGGGACTTACACCAGTGGTTTGCTGCAGGGTTCTGGGGCCTGCAGGGTTGACTTCCCTGCTTTTGAGGCTTTCGGACTCGGAATGAGCCACCACTGACTTCCTTCTTCTCCAGCCTGCCAGACGGCCTATCACGGGACTTTGCCTTGTGAGCGTGAGGGCCAATTCTCCCCAGTAAACTCCTTTCACGTACGCCCATCCTATCGCTTCTGGCTCTCTGGAGAGCCCTGACTAATAACGGTACCTTCGCTTTGGACCTCTAGCCCCCAACTGCAGGACAGCAGGCTTCTATGGTTTAAGCCGCTAGTTAGCGGTATTCTGTTCTGCAGCCCTGGAAAGCTCACCGCATGTCCTCGGAGAAGGCGGCCAAGGTGGGCTGGGGTGCCGACAGGATCTCCGTGCTGCAACCCTCCCTGGTACCATTCTCCACAGACACCCCCAATGTGGCCACCTCCAGCCACACTCTCCTGAGTGCCAGCCTGGGCCAGGCTGCCTGTTCACCCACACCCACCTGCCCTAAGCACACAGCCACCTAGGCTTTCCACATCCTGGTGCCCCCAACCTCATCCTCAGGGCCTCCCAGACACTGGCTCAACTCTCCCGTGCCTGCCACGTTCTCGGTACTCCTGCCATCTCCTCTGCACTGACCTCAGTATGATCAGAAGTCCTCTGGGCTCTCCAGGCAATGTCGAGGTCTTCCCAGCACTGGCCTGCTCATCTCCTGGAGCCTAGTTCCCTCCACACCCCTCTTCAGTCACTCAGGAGCTTGTCCTGCATCTCTGCCTGGGTCAGCCCGAAGAGGAATGGGAGTCCAGACCCATTCTTGCCGCACGATGGGGACCGCACAAACAGTGGACAGGAGTGGCTCCCCTGCACAGAACTGCCTGATGGTCTAGAGGGCTGACCATGGGAGTAGAAAGAGGGGCAGGTGACCTGGGGGCACTCCAGGAGACGGAGGGGCCAGATGCCCAGCGGAGGTTGACATGTGAGACCATATGGCAGGTGGGCGTGGAATGCAAAGGTAGCCCCAGGGCCACCACTCCTGACAACCGGGCAGCTTCCATGAAGCTCTCTCGCAGTGACACATGTCCGTGAACCCTCCTGCCACTGAGCATAGGGAGGGTGGGGTGGAGACAGAGGAAGCAGCAGGGCTGGGACTGAACCAGCACACAGTGGCCTCAGTGCCTCATTGGGCTGGAGATGGCTGGGCTGGCAGCCACCTGTCATGGGGACAGACTGCAGGAGGCACAGGGCTGACTGGGCGGTAGCATGTGAGGGGCCGTGGGGTGCTCTGTGTGGAATCCCACAGTGGGGACAGGCCCTGTACACTTCCATGCATCCCCAAGTCACTCCCTGTGTGGGACAAACTCCGGGGCCACTGAGGCACCCCAGACACCTCCCCTTCCACGGTGAAACAGAACAATTACAAAAGCATCTGAATCACCCATTTCGTAGAAAAGCATCATAATGAGGAACAAGGGAAGCAACCTAAGCGTCCTATGTAAACGGCCCCCGTGGGCGGCTGGTGGAAAGACAGAGGGCCAAGCAGGGATGGGGGCTGAAGGAGCTTCCGGGGCTCCTGGTGACTCTTGCTGCCGACAGGAAACCCTGTGTGCGGCTGGGAACACGTATCTGGCACTTCATGTGGAGTGTGGCCACCCTACTCTGGATGCAGGCAGGCTGGGGCCTCAGGCCAGCGAGTGAGCTCTGAGCCCTGGTAAGAGTCACACAGCCAGGCAGACACAGACGCCATTCACTGGGCAGCCTCCACACAGGAAAAGGCCCAGAGGGCACTTCCCGCCTCAGACAACCCTAGCCAAGGCCCCATCCTGCACCAGAGAAAGCATCGCTGTAACCCTGCCCTCAGGCACCGAAAAGAGCCCAGCCTGCGCTCAGGAGGACTTGCTTCCCCTCCTCTCTCTCTGCTTTTAAAAGTAACAAAAGGCCCCTTGAGGGACCAGTCCCGAGGGGCACTCACCCTGTTAAAGCGCTTGGCTTGGAAGAGATGGCCGTTGGCACGGTACAGTTTTCTCCATCTTCTGGCTCCCCGGCGGTAGATGGACTCTGGAAAGGACAGGATAAAGGCATAAAGACACGGGTGGCGGCCACAAGCCACACAGGGTGCAGCTGGGACAGGCCGCTCCTGTCCGGGTGGTGGTGGCCGCAACGTCCTCCCAGGCTGTCAAGGCAGGGCTGGAATGACGGCCTCCAGGTGGCCTCTCTCTGCCTCTCCTCACATGATCTCCATGGTGTCAAGGCCTCAGCAGCTGCAGACAGTGACCCAGCTGAGGATGGAGCTGGGGTCCTTACGGCAGCTCACTGACTGTGGAACCGTGAAGTCGCTCCAGGCCAGCACGGGCCAGCCCGTCTGCCCTCCGCCTGTTTTCCTCTCCACCCACCCTCTCCCCAGGCGGCCCCATGAAAAACAGGCCTTTTTCTACACAGGGACAGTTCAAATGGGCCTCGATATTTACACATGACTGTCAGAGGAGGGAGAGTGGAGGGCGCGCTCGGGCCTGAGCCAGCCTAAGACACAGAGCGCCGCTGACTTCAGCAACTCGCCAGACACAGGCGGCGCGAGGCCCGGGCTCTCCAGTCGAGTTTCCTTTAACCTAATAAATCTCAGGGCGGGAGGGCCAAGTCCAGAAACCACCTTTCTAGCCCGCATCTGACAGTCGGCCCCCGCGGACGGCGCTGTTTATGAAAAGTAACCAGAAGGCTGGTCTGGTCCCTCCTCGTAACCGGGTCTCCCTTCGCGCCTCCGAAACACTTTGAAACTAATGTGTGTGTAAACAGAATCTTCAGAAACACAACATACAACGGGGAGCTTTGTGCTTTTATAAAATTCCATCATAACAGCGACTTCATGACCCGAATAAGAGCGCCACGAACACACTGAAGTGGAAATTGCAAGGGAATGTTTTTAAAACAAGCGAACGACTAGCTCTGGCTGGAAACCGCTGCAATCAGGTCACACGGAGGGGAAACCTGCTCCCCTTCCTCTAAGTGGGAGAATCAGCGCGAAACCCAGAAGTCAGCGGTCCTCGGGCGCGCGGGGGCACTAGGCCCACGTGGCCCTCAGCAGCAGCAGCCGGGGTCCCGACGCCCCGGGCACAGCGCGAGATCGACAGAGGCCTGGCGACACAGACGCGACCCGCAGAGACTGGAGGGCAGGCTGGGCCGTGCAGCCTGCGCCCCTTCCGCCCTGCACCCACCTGGGCGCCCGGCCTGGGCTCCGCACGAGGCGCAGCCCCGGGAGCGGCCACTTTCAGCCCCGATGGCCCTCAGCCCTGTGGAGGTCGGGTGAGCCCCCACGTGGCTCTGCCCACGAAAAGGGGGCCCGTGTCTTGCCCTGACCAGCCCACGGCAGGTCCCAGCTCCACGAGTCCGCAGGTCTAACCGTCCCCTCGGGAGGCGCCGGTGCCCGCCAACCGTCTCTGAAAAGAGAAAAGCGCGTGGAGCGGAGAAAACAGAGGTGCTGCGGGCCACAGGCGCGACGGCGCACAGCTGGGGGCGGAGCCGAAGGCGGGACGCACAGCCGGGGGGCGGAGCCGAAGGCGGGACGCACA